TCCCACCACTGAGAAGAATGTGAACGAACCAACATTATTGAAAACAAAGGTTCTGGCAGTTGCTTTCCAGACCAACCAATGTTCTCAAAAGACATAATCCAAATCATGAAAGCCTATATCTTTTGAGGAAAAATTGGTAATAGTTCCCATCAGCTAGCATACTCGTATCCTACAGTGTTCCCAAATTATGGAAATAATGTTTGGGATCCTCTTTAAGTATAGTGGACCTTCCTTGGAGGACAAGTATTGATTTTTCTCATCCTCTTGAGTAGTGAACCAGACTTATGATGGGGCCCTTCAAGTGGTGCGGTGGCCTAGAGGTGGAGCTCTCGCCTCACCATCAGGAGGCTGTGAGTTTGATCCTAGATAGAGGCAGATATTTCTCTCTCTGGGCACAATGAGAATATATCTGCAGAAAACAATCTCCGCACTGGTGACAGGAAAGGCATCTGGCCAGTAAACACTCGGCTCCATTCAGTTGCCCAAGACTTCACCCTGCAAGGGATTTACGGGGTCTTTAAAATAAGACAATGACTTATGATGGGGCCCTTTCACGTGTATAGATTGGGCAGCTGCCTCTATCAGTGTGTGGGCCCTTCCCATAGCCCCACATCTCAAGACTTGCATGGATGAGTTGTATAATAAGCATAGCAGTGGTGGTATTCTACTGGTTTTGCCTGGTTCTACCAAGCCGGTAGCAGCAATGAGCAACAGAGACCAAACCGGTTCTCTCCACCGCTATGCTGTTGGCCCCACCTGCCCACCTGGCCTCCCATATTCACCTTTATCCTCTGCTTTTGAAGCACAGCTGCTTTGCGCGGCACAGAAGAGAAGAGCTGCGCAGCAGCTGTTGAAGCGACGGGGAGAGTGCAGGCTTGCAGGAGGTGAGTTGGCATGCCTCTGCACTTGCACAAACGCCTCTGCGCCTGTGCAAAGTGCGTGTTTGGCACGCAAAGTGTGTGCACACCTGCAAAGCACGCCCACCGAACCAGCGGCGAAACTTTTTGAATCCCACCACTGAAGCATCGGGGGTTGGAAGAGAGAGGCTAAGACAAAAACTGCAGCTAATGTAAAAAAAAAACAATAACAACCCTGCTTTTTAAACGTGGAAAGACGATGTCTTTCCATAGATCTCGTCTGCGGCTCCAGCGGGCAAACTCAAACGGTCAGATGGATAGACCTTGATCACCTTCGAGACCTGTGGAGAAAGGCAAGTCCAGGCAGCCTCCAGCGAGGGCCGAGGACGGCTGTCAAAGACATATATTCACCGCCATTCCCTTGCAATTGAGTGAACTTTTAGGGGCATTGAGACCAAGTTGCACATTGCCAGGCCTTACTGGGGCTTTGATTTGTGATTACAGCTTCATTGCCTGCAGCCTGGATAAAAGCAGGTTGCTTATTCTTCCATCTCGCCATCTCATTTTTTTGTGACCGTGGGGTTATTTTACAGGCAGGGATGTCTCACATCTCCGACAACTTTTGGGTCCAAGGGCTCCTGGAGGAGCATTGATTTGCTTTGGCCAGGTATAATTTACTTAGATGGGATTTCCCTGGGTTGCACAAGTCTCTTTTCTGCATCTATCATTCTACAGTGTGCATGTCCCCTTCGGTGCCTGTCTATCATCTCGAGACTCCTTGGTCCATGTGAAATATTTCTTGTTTGGTTCTCTTCCCCCATTGTGTTGTGCTGGCCTGTTTTTTCAAGCTCCAGAATTTGGTCTACTTCTTTCACATCAGCTACTGACCTGGACATCGTACAAGGTTAATTGGTATCCTCTGAGTTTACTCTAATTATTTAATTAACCCATTTTGTGGGGGGGGGAGGAGTTTTGACCAGTGCACTGAACTGTACATGACACCAAATAATTCAAACAAAATTTGAAGGCATGCACACTGAAGTCCCCAAACCAAGATGAAATTTAACTGAGATTACTACATTACATGTTGTAAAAATTTGAAGGCGTGCACACCAAAGTCCCCAAACCAAGATGAAATTTAACTGAGATTATGACATTACATGTAGTAAAAAGACCAAATACATGATATTACACATAACGACAGTGGTAAGGATTGCATTCGTGCAATGTTGGAAGTGAGATAGTGTACCGCCGGAGGAATTAGTAATCCAGAAGGTACTAGAATGTGCTGAGATGGATAAACTCATTTTAGAGCTAAAAGGCCAAGAAGAGTCAGAGTACTACGTGGTCTGCGATAATTGGTATGAATAGTTGAATAAGAATAGTAGAGATAAGAAAAATGAATATGAATGAATATAAATGTATGGAGATCTGTATATATAACAACGATGCCACAGTGTTGTTAAAGATGTGAATGAGATATGTAAACATGAAAAAGCATACTAAAATAAATAAATAAGTTTTTTTAAAAAATAAATTTAACTGAGATTAGCACGTTGGGCAAAATGCAGCCATTAGTGTTTGAAACGGATGGATTGCAACTGGTGGAGGGTGATTTAAAACAAATGTCTTTTAGTTTAATATGTTCTTCTCATTCAAGAATCTCAAGAAGGGGAAACAAAACCCTTTTAACAAATATGCTGACCGATGAATCATATATACGGGAGAAAAGAGTGCTAAGAAAGATATAGCAGCATAGATTTAGCTGTTATAGACCTCAATAATCTCTGAACTACAGTTCCCTTGGCCAGGCTAGCCGAGACTGCTGGGAATTGAAGTCTTACAACATCTGCAATGGGACAGGTCGGCCAGACTGCTTAAGTCAGGGTGTCAAACTGGCAGCCCACAGGTCGGATTCTTCATGCGCAGGCCACGCCCACCCCAGCTCCGCAAAGGGGGAAAACATCCCAATATGTCACATGGTGGCAACGGGATGCCACGAGTTTGACACTGTGCCTTCTTGGGTGAACAGATTTATCTCAGGATGATGGTCTTTTCCCCTCATTCCCTCATTCTGCTAAACAACTAATTCCCACAACGCTGTCAACTTAACTAAGACTGTATACCACATCTGGGTCCTATGTAGCTCTGCTATCCATAGGATTGACAGCTAGTTTCATATTTGTGGTTAAGACCCCAGGCTGGAGATTTTAAGTTCTAGTCCTGTCTGAGCCGGTCATTTTCTGTCAGCACTAAGAAGGAAACAATGGCAAGGCACTTCCGAAATCTTGCCAAGAAATCTGCAGGGAGCAACGTGGGCAGTTGCTAGGAGTCAACCTTGACAGCATAAAATAAAATTTAAAATACTGTACATAGGGCCCATAATTTGAGCAAGGCTTCTCTTTAGAAGTCCTGTTGGCTTCTGACCAGTAGGAGGCACTAGACAACCACTCTCACACTTACTGGGATTCATCAGCCATTGTTATTTGAAGGATACCTAGGCCTGAAATGTCCCAATAGGAACATTTAAATTTATTTAAGCCCCCTCTTAAGGAGGTGGTCCAGTGGTAGGATTCAAATTTTTTTACTACCGGTTCTGTGGGCATGGCTTGGTGGGCGTGGAGTGGCTTAATGGGCATGGCAGGGGAAGGATGCTGTAAAATCTCCATTCCCTCCCCACCCCACTAACCTGCTTTCCAGCTCCGTTCTCCTGTGCAGGGCAACCAAAGAAGACCCAGCCAATGATCAGCTGGGACTCGATGGGAGGCAGAGAAGAGATGGGGCCGGGGCCAGTCAGAGGCGGTATTTGCCGGTTCTCCGAACTACTCAAAATTTCCGCTCCCGGTTCTCCAGCACTGGTCAGAACCTGCTGGGGTGGTGCTTTGAGGTCTCTGGCAAGAGGTCCAGACCAATAAGATTATAGAATATATCATGAGACTCTACCCGAAGAGCATATTGGGGCAGTGGGGGGAATGGAGGAGGAAGGCAGACTTATACAGCTTTTATTATTGCCAATATTTCTATGTAGATCAGCTCTTTAAGAAGGGAAGTGCTCATGTTAGTTTTGGGATCAGTGTTTCTCAACTCCAACAACTTTAAAAGGTATGGATTTCAACTCCCAGAATTGCCTAGGTAGCACCCTAGCTGAAGAACCCTTGGGAATTGAAACCCACCCATCTTAAAAGTTGACACGGTTGAGAAATAATGCCTTGGATTGTATATCATTTAGGCCTTCAATGATTGTCTGCAAGGGTGGGTGGAGAGAAACATATTGTGAACTATCCTGGGGGGGGTCATGAGGCCCCACCCTGACTTGCATTGTGCTTTTATTGATATGTTTAAGTGCTGCCCAATGCTTGTGGTCTTGCCCATAGACAAATATTTTTGTGGGAAGGATATCTGCCTGCCAGAAAAAAATAGCGGAGCAGACAGAACATCGATGCAAGATAAACTAATATGTCTGACTTTTTTCTCCCTTTTTTTTTTCATTTTAATTGCATTACTCCTTGGCGAACAATCTTGCCTTTACATTTTTCAATATGTCTTCACAAGTTCGAAGTGGCTATCTGACAGCTTTCAGATTGGCAAGAACATTGCATCCTTCATTAGCTTGGGATTCTGGGAGATGTAGTCTGGCACACGGGCTGAAGGTCGCAGGAGGTTCTGGGACGTGTAGTCTGGTACATACAGTGATAGGATTCAATTTTGTTTTTACTACCGGTCCTGTGGGCATGGCTTGGTGGGCATGGCAGGGGAAGGATACTATAAAATCTCCATTCCTTCCCCACCCCACTAACCTGCTTTCCAGCTCCATTCTCCTGTGCAAGGCAACCAAAGAAGACCCAGCCAATCAGCTGGGACTCGGGAGGCAGAGACTAGATGGGGGCGGTGCCAGTCAGAGGCGGGATTGGCCAGTTCTCTCAACTACTCAAAATGTCCACTACCGGTTCTTCAGAACCAGTCAGAACCTGCTGAAATACCCCCTCTGGGTACATAGCTCAGGATGATAAGGGGCCCTCGCTTTTACAAACCATGATTCATACTTTGCCCTTATGCTTGTTCCCATACATATCTCTGGCTTTTCATCCAACCCATTAACCTGGTTGCCAAATTAACACATTTTTAAGGTGAACATGCATTAAGAAATAGGAGTGGTGCGGTGACTTAAAGGTGGAGCTCTCACCTCACAATCAGGAGGCTGTGAGTTCGATACTAGGTAGAGGCAGATATTTCTCTCTCTGGGCACAATGAGGATATGAATGGGTGAAAAAAAAAACCTCCGCATTGGTGACAGGAAGGGCATCCAGCCAGTAAAAAACTCAAAACTCCATTCAGTTGTCCAGACGCCACCCGCAAGGGATTATGGGGGGTCATTAAAAGAAGAAGATGATGATACTTTAAGAAGTAGCCTAGATTGACCACTAAATTTCAGTTCAATAAACCAACGAAGGTTGAAGCTTATCAGTGACAGTTTAGCACGTTGGGCAAAAGTTAGCTGTTGGCTTGTTGCAGATTTGGGTAAGTGGGTTGTGGGAACACAGTTTGCATCCTGGATCAAGACCACTTTGGGACTTGAGGAGGCAAAGTTACAAAGCTCCTTTTAGGGGGTCTGGGGCCAGGTTTCCTTAGTGATTAGAGCAGCAAAATCCCTAGTTAGCAGAAAAGGTGGCATCCATCAAACCCCGAATGAAATTTTATCTGTGAAGCTATTTCCTATGGAAAGTGAGAGGAAGAGCATAGTGGGGGTGCCCTGCTGAGGTCCAGATGGATTCTGACCCATGCCCCATAAACAAGCTGTGTTTGCTAGGTTACCACCACCTTGGGTTACCCTTGGGCTATTATTCAGCTACTCCAGCTTCCATACTGAGTCAGCAGCTAACCCCGGTTGAGTTCACACCACATGCTAACCTAGAACGTGATTGGTTTGCAGTTCAGAAGGTCACTTACCAGTGGCGAGCGCTTGGCTCGGTTCCAGCTACCTCTGAATTGAAATCTGCAAGCATTGTCCTCTGGATCTTGGCTTGCTTTTACTGGATGTTTTGCTTTCCTCTGGCTGTGTTCACACAACACACTCGTTCAGGTTCTTAAAACTACAGTCTGGAGGGACTCCCGGAGGCCTCTGAGACTCTCTTAAGAAGTCCAAGAGGTCAAACAAATGAATATTTTAAAATTTCTTGGTTTTAATTTCTAAGATAGTAAATATCGATAGGTATCTAACTCACATAAAACCAAAGCTCTTTGGGGTCCTCTTAAAGTAATTTTTAAGAGTGCAAAGGGGTCATGGGACTAAAGTATCAGAGAATCGCTGGCTTAGAGTAAAAAGTGAGAAGTTTGTACATCTATAAGTTGTTGGAGTCTTAACAACTTCGCGTGAGGTGACCAAGTATCATATGAATCAGGCTCTCTTGTATTAAACCAGAATACAGTTCTTTTGTTTGGATCTAACATATTTTAAAGGCAGCAGTAATGGATTCTCATGCAGTGTGTGTGTGTGTGTGTGTGTGTTGGATTAGATGATCTCTTGGGTCCCTTCCAACTCTTTCATAATTTTTTTTGATTCTGTGTCAGCAGAGGAGTTGTGCTTTATTTTTTTTAATAAGCTTAACCACATCAGCTCTAAACCTGCTAAGCTTGATTAGTTTTAACATTAGTTCAATCTATGTGCAAACTCAGAAAATAAATTAATTGAATAAGCAGGCTGAACGTGCTTTGCGAACACCGAAATTATATACTCGTTATTAGAGCAGCGTTTCTCAGCCTTGGCAATTTTAAGAGGTGTGAACTTCAACTTCTAGAATTCCCCAGCCGGCCAGAATTTGTTCTGGATGTGGTCAAAAAAGTCAAGATGGTGTCTTCGAAGCCCTTTTCATAGTTAGTTTACTTTATTGATTAGCCCTTGGCTGATATCAGAGTGCACAGTTCCAGACACAAATTATTACTGAAATCTGATAAAAACAATTTAAAATGAAATTGGAATAAAATATGATTTAAAATGAAATTGGAATAATATATAACAATTTAATATCTCAATAAAATATGATAAAATTATATTTCGATGTCACCCCTACAATCTACCCCAATCAGTCCCACATATGCTGATCTCTCTTTTTATACGTATCGCAACACCTGTAGAAAGCAGGTGGGTCTTCGATCACACCTTCTCAGCAGCCATCTTGGCTTTTTTTTTTTAACCACAACCCCATTGCTTTTTTAATAAAATAAAATAATAAAAAAATCTCCAAGTCACTTTTTTGAGTTTCTGGGTTTCCCTCTGACTGTACGATATATACAATTTATTGCTTTCCGGTTCGCCCTCGAGAACCCAAAAGAGCTGACTTAGTTGACTCCAGGGATGGAATTCTACCGGTTCGGACCGGTTCTATAGAACCGGTTGTTATGATTCCGCACAGTTCGGAGAACCGGCAAATCATGCCCCTGGCTGGCCCCTGCACCTTTCTGCCTGCCCCTTCCACTCCATGCCCAGTCAGTCCTTATCATGCATGCGTGACATCGCTGACTGCGTTCTCCGCCCAGTCATTCCTGAAGGTATTTCTTTCCCCACTCCTGACAATCCGCTGTTCCGATGATCAGCTCTGCTGGGATCCCCCTTGCTCTCTTACTGCTTCGCCCAGGAGGCTTCCCTGAGACCCAGGAGGCAAAAAGGGGTGGGGGACGTGCGGGGTGGGGTTGCTTTTTTTTTTTTTTGCCTTCCTGGGCCCCGGAGAAGCTTCCTGGGAACCAAAAAACCCCTTCCCAGGTGGCTTCCCTGAGGCCCAGGAGGCAAAAAAAAACCCAGGTTGCTGCAAAAAAAGAAAGAAAGAAAGAAAGAAAGAAAGAAAGAAAGAAAGAAAGAAAGAAAGAAAGAAAGAAAGAAAGAAAGAAGAAGCCACGCCCACCCAGTCACATGGCCACGCCCACCTAGCCACACCCACAGAACCGGTTGTTAAAAAATTTGAATTCCACCCCTGGTTGACTCTCTTTGTTTTACCCTCACAACAACAACAACCTTGTAAGTTAGATTCAGCTGGCCGAAAGTGTCTTGTGGGTCTGGCTTGAAGGGAAACTTCCCCCTGGATCTCCTGATCAAAAGCCAACATTTTAATCACTTCATTTATGCTTCAGGCTGCTTGTCCTTATCTGCTTGTCTCCTTTTTACAGTATTTGCCCTCTAAGAACAATTCGGTCTGCGCAGTAACTGTTCCAAAATTTCTCCATCTTGGCTCTATGGGGATTTCGTCTCCAGCAAATTCTGTGACCATCTCTTGAAATAATAATAATAATAAATATTTTTAGAGAGAGACACTTCTAGAAATCGGATTTTGGGTTGGGGAAAGGGGTAAGTATACTATAGTTCACTGTAATTGCGGGTGCTTTATTTCAACGGCAGAACCGGCTTGGTTGGAAAGCATAAAATTGGATAAACGTTGTGCAGGAGCATTTCGGTTTCTCAACATTTTGAAAACCCCATTGGGCAGGGAGGGAGGTTTTCTAGGCTGCTTCTGAAGATGGACAGCTTTGTTGTGCTTGTGTGCAAAAGAGAAAGTTGTCAGCGTGTGCCCAAGGGCCTGCACTGTGCATCTAGTAAGCAACTTCTTTTTTCGCCCCACCATTGGGATGATTATTATTATTATATTATCTCCAGCCATAATCCATTCCTCTTCTCTCCCCCCATCCCCCCCCCCCCTGCAATTTCGGCATTTCCTACCTGGTTGCACTGCCCTCTTTTTTTCTCCCCTATATCTCTCTGTAGGGCTGGTCAGCAAATATCCTTGTCCATGCATGGCAGATGTTTGTCTGGCTGCCCTCCATTCTTAAAATTAAAATTAATTCTTCCAACCGAGAAGTACCTAGCTAGAAGAAAAGGGATTGGATTCCTCTCCCTCTCTCTCCCTCTCTCCCTCTCTCGCTCCCTCTCTCTCTCTCTCTCTCTTCCTCTCTCCCTCCCTCTCCCTCCCTCCCTCCCTCTCTCTCTCTCTCACACACACACACATACACACACACACACACACACACCATTTTGCATTGGCTGTTGGTTGTTGAGCTGGCCGATGGATGTGTTTGTATATTTGTGTACAGTGAAGGGTGGAGAGAATTCAAGAGATAATAAGCATAATTGGAAACTAATCCCAGAAGGGCAGCTTGTTGTGGTTGAAGAAGAAGGGCTGTTGAGAAGCAACGGCAAGCAATTACTTTGTCACAGCAGCCGAAAGGACAAAATCAGATAGAGGTTGACCTTTTGGCCTCGGCTACATTTTGGGGACTGGAAATCACCTTCTGAAGTTGTTCGTCGAGAGATGGTTGGGAGGGCAACTGGCAGCAAAACCAGCTGTCGGGCATTGAGCTTCAAGTCCCATCATCCCCCCCGTCATCATGTTTGATGGCTAGGCTGCCTAAAGATTAGGGGAGTTGGGCCAGTGTATCTGGAAAGGGACTCCTGCAAGGGAAGGAAGATTTAACCTGTTACAGGTGTGCCTTGACTGACAACCAAAATTCGGACCAGAATTTTTGTTCCTAAGCAAATGCATTGTGTCCAGTTAAGTGAATCATGAGGTCGTTCAATGAATGTTCAGAGTCCCCAAATTCTCCAGCCATCGTGCTTCAAGATGTTTGGACTTCCAGAATTCCACACACTTCAGCAGGCTAGCTGGGGAATTCTGGGAGATGAAGTCCAGATACCTTAAAGTTGCCAAGGTTGAGAAACACTGGGCTGGACTGAGAAAAAATAAAATTCCTGTATTATAGAGCTGTGGTGGCGCAGTGGTTAGAATGCAGTATTGCTTCTGTCAGAAGTTTGATCCTGACCGGCTCAAATTTGACTCAGCCTTCCATCTTTCCAAGATGGGTAAAATGAGAATCCAGATTGTTGGGGACAATAGGCTGACTCTGTAAACCCACTTAGAGAGGGCTGTAAAGCAGTGTGAAGTGGTATATAAGTGCTAAATGCTATTGCTATTACTGGCAGGAAAACCACTGTGGAATATGTGCACGTAGTCATGGGCTTAAGAGAGACTTTATCTTTTAATTTTATTTCTGCTGCAGAGGAATCCTTTAAACAACTGCCCTTCTCAAATTAGTTGTCAGATTCAGTACCTCTCCCCACCCACCTTGGAAATGCACAGCCTCAGTTGATTAGCAGGTGATTATATTTCTCTTCTGGCTATTTGTTGAATTGCTCCTATCGTACAACTGCCATTGAATTAATTAGGCCAGATTTCAGCCTGTCCTTTCCAGAGCATCTGAAATCAGGCCAGA